ATTGTGGGTCTACCTACATCAAATAGAATGCAGCAGTTCAAAAAAGCAGCTCATCTCCACCTTCTCCAAGGCAACAAGGAACGAGCAGTAAACATTGGCCCAGCCAGTGATATCCTGGTCCCATCAATGAATTCAAATTTGGCCATAAGCAATCCCGGCTATGTCATGTGTCATTACCGATTGATCGTAATCATATCTGTGAAGCAAAAGTCAAAGTTGACCTTTAAAGGGTCACTTGTGAATCACATTTCACAAAGACAATTCAATATCTCTCAATCTGCACAAGGGTAGGGAGCTGATTATTTTTTCTCCCCTTAAACTGATTTCGTGAACATGCTGCTGTATGAAATGTTGCCTTTGATGTTGTGGGACAAGGTTTTAGTAATCCTCCTATTATATTTGCAGGATATGGCTTGTGCTGTGCATATAAGATCCACAATTTCAAAGGTCCATGTGGAAGCATTCCATGGCCTTCCCGATCACAGTCCTCCATGGCCCTCTGCATATGTTTGTTTGTGATAACAGTGCCGACAGCTCACATTACTAAGCAACTGTATGGTTATTCCTTACACAGGTTCATAGGGTTCAAGCACAGCAAAGACCATCAATGTCATGGTTGCAGTGCAACAGAGGGACTGAGACGTTGATGAGGAATAAATGTGCCAGCAAGCCCTGCAACATTCTCCAGTGCTGCTGATCATTTTTCACATGAAGAGGTCTCAGCACATAGTCCCCTCGGAATGTGCAGGAGTTACATACAGGAGGCCAAGGGATTATCATCTTCACTGCCATTTCCTCCAGACAAGGATAGTGTTACTATGAACAGAACATCCTAGGATACTGTCATTGAACTGTGCCAACAATGGTGGGTGCTCACCTATCATACAGACCCTCAAGTTAAATGCTGTACTAATTTTTAAATGCAATTATTTCACTGGGGATCCGTGTGGTATCTCTTAATCCTCAACTCCCACAAATATATTAAGGCTGTTAATGATGCAATTTGAGCCAAATCACACCCCTTCACCTCATTTCCTCAGGATGAAATTAGTGCTGCAGCTCAGGCAGCATGCTATACCAACATAGATGATTTCACCCAGGTGCAGGGTGCTATAGACTGTACATACACCACAGTGAGCATGCCATTTCATAACACAGCAGACTTTATTGATGGAAGAGGCTTCCTTTGAATAAATGTATAAGTTAGCTATGGTGATCAATCCCACAAGTTGGAGGCAGCATTCCCACTAATTTCTTTTTTTATCTGCATGAACCTCATTTGACTTAATTCACAGCTGGACTTTAAATATATTGCAAGTAGCTTAAATCCCAGAAGGTCTCAGCACTGCAAGCAACAGGGTGGCAATTAAATTGTCTCAGACTTGTTGCACCTGACATCTGCTGCTGGAGGGTGCATATTTACATACCTAATTAGTTTACATCCAATGAATGAAGAGGTCACAGCCAGTTTGCACACAAGTTTCCACAGAGAATGGAAAAAAATAGTTTAACGGCTGCTTTTGGAACTTAACTGTGCACAAATTTCTTACCTCTACATTTTAAAGGTGACTATGCAAAGTGAATAACAAGTCACTTGTTCTGTTGTTTCATTTCTCATTTGCTGTAATCAGGAGTTTGTTTGCAATAGATCTACCATTACTGTTATGCGAGTCTCAGGAAAATTTGAGCCAATATTCTGTGACAACTTCTTAAGTTTTCCAATGTTGTCCATGCTTTGGACACTTCGACCAATCTTCCACAATGAGTATTGCAGTGAGTCTCCACTGAGTCTTTCAGGTGCATGTTCTTATCCCTTTCAGCTTTGACCTTCCTGAATGTTCTGCAGCCTTTGGCCAATAAGGTCATGAGCAGGTTATGCCAACAACCTTCACTGTGCCCAGCCAGGAAGTGTAAAGTACATGTCCTCAGGAAGTCAAGGTGCCAGAAAGTCTGACTTCTCCAGCACATAATCCTTGGTAAACAAACAGGAGGCTGGAAGAACACAGCAAGCCAGGCAGCAACTGGAAGAAAGGAGAAGTCAACATTTCAGGTATTACCCTTCTTCAGGACTTGGGCTGGTTGTAACTGGTTTCCCTGAGCCTTTATGGTCTCTTCAATTTAGAGTGTCCAATTTTGTGCCTGTGATCACTTGACCACGAAGTAAACCAATGTACTTACCAATAAAAGCAAGAGCATTATTTTTCTTAATTCATGGAATGTTCCATCAATGGTTGGAACTACTTTTCTTTAATGCTTTCACAGGATACGAGTGTTGGTAGCTAGGCCAACATTTATTACTCATCCCAAAAAGTAGGCCACGTTGCTATAGGCTGGAGTTACAAGAAGGTCCAACAAAGTAAGGGTGGAAGATTTCCTTCCCAAGAGGGGAATCTTGGATAAATTTTTATAACAAATCCTGGCGGCGCAGTGGTTAGCACTGTTGCCTCACAGAGCCAGGGACCCAGGTTCGATTCCACACTTGGGCAACTGTCTGTGTGGAGTTTGCACATTGTCCCGGTGTCTGCGTGGGTTTCCTCCCACAGTCCAAAGATGTGCAGGCTAGGTGGATTGGCCATGCTAAATTGCCCATAGTGTTCAGGGATGTAGATCAGGTGGGTTAAAGGAGGATGGGTCTGGGTGGGATACTCTCAGGGTCAGTGTGGATTTGTTGGGCCAAAGGCCCTGTTTTCACACATGATTCTGAAATCAATGGCCACTATTACTGAGACAAGATTTCAATTCCAGATTTTTAATAATTAAATTTGAAGCCCATCAGTTGCCAATCTTCTCAGAGCATTGCCTAGGCCTCTAGAATACTATTTTAATTACAGTAAAAATGGTAAAGAAAAACTGGCAAAAAGTGGAAGTAAACTGAAGGAAGTTGTCCCAAACCTATTTTTTCTATTATTTCAAGTTTACAGGTTGAGAAAAACACAGACCGAGAAGATTATTTTTTTTGTTGTTTGTTTAAACTATTGTTGCAGTCTTCTAAAGGAAATGCAATTTTTTTTTTATTTTAAATTGAAGTGCTAGGAAGTTATTCGTCACTTAAACAAGAAATGATACAACAGAAGTTACACTCCAGAGAAAGCATCTAATATTGTTGCAGTGTTACAGTTACTGTCTCAATGGAGCTGAATTAGCTAATTTTGTTTTTTTGAATTAACAAAATCCTACACAATGAACTTGAGAAAAGAGGACAAAATTTGAAGTTAGTCTAATGACCAGAGACAATATGGCACTTAAAATTGGATTATCACCAGTTTGTTTCTATACTCAATCCTGTCTAGTGCCAATTGTCTGAGAACTTTTGAAAGATCACTTTTACACTTCTACATTGAGACAGTTACTGTAACAGTGCAACAATGTTAGATGCTCTCTCTGGAGTGTAATCTTCTGTTGTATCATTTCTTGTTTAAGTGATGAATAATTTCTTAGCATTTCAATTTAATTTAGAAAAGTTAAAAATTGCATTGTCTTTGAGAGGACTGCAGCAAAATTTTAAACAAGCATCAAAAAAAAGTGTCTGAATCAGATGGGGGCTCAAATAATGTTAATCAAAGTCCCATCACACATATGGTTTCAATTGCAATTTTGAGGTACAAACAAGTAAATGCAACGTGACCATCGTCATACTGGACCATAGGGCTGCTCTCTCAATAGAGAGAGATGACGGAGGATGATTCAAACTGACAATCACCATACATTGGGTCAGGAGACTGACTGAGAAGAAGAGTCCTTCATGGTAATTTCAGCTAGTGCAGGAATTGAACCCAAATCATTGGCATCAGGATGTATTGCAAACCTGCAATCTAAGCTTACTGACCCCCGTATACAAATGAATACAGCATGCCTGCTCCATGTATTTGTACTATGTGGTAAATGCCATTAAATGTCCTCAAAGAGATGACTGGAAGCCACTCAACACTGAGGACCAAGAGGAAAAGCTACTGTTTGAAGGGGGATTGTAAGGAAGGAGGGTGTTGCAGCACGAGAGAGAGCAAAATTTGCTCGTCAAATAACAGACTGTCACTCCATGGGCCTACATTTTATCACTCCCCAAGCTAATGGAGAGCAGATAATAAGAGAGGAGGCATGCCTTGAAAAGTGTGGCCTACCGTGTGACCCACTAGTCAGTGTATCCAGTGCATTAATCTTTCCAATGTGAAGCTGATCTTTTGACCTAGAATCTGAATGGCAGTCATTTTGCTGTTGCAATGTTCCTGCCAGTGGCTATATATTCCAGGGTGGATTGCAGGACTGGAATGTCGTATAACAGAAAATTACAATGCTACACCTGTTAGCAAACACCTTAATATTTTCAAACATTTAGCTCATAGTCTTCGATAAATCTACCGAACTACATTATACAATTACAGTCTGCTTCTAGGTTTTATTTAGTCAGTCTCAAAGGTTGACTTCTCTGTTGAGCTCAGAGTAAGGAGAGGATATCACCTTTCAGATAGTTACCTACCTCTCAACCCAGCCAGCCAAATCTGCTCCTGCTTTCTTCTATTCTGTCTCACATTGGCTGGTGATTTGGTTTGGCTTGCAACCAATCTGTGTGCTACCCAACAAGATAATACATATTAAGCCTTTCCTCCTCTGAATAAGTGCTTTCTTCAGAAAACTCTTGCTGCTGAGAAGGACAGATTTAAAATACAAATAACAAACATGAGGGCTGCCCAACAAAGCCAACATATAACATTTGCAAATGTGACTTTTTCTGGTATTAGATTAACATTCCAGCTCACAAAAGAACAGGACCTATATCCAGAATTATACTAAAATCATTGTTGAGGCTGAAACCAAACTAAAACAATTGCAACAACTGTCTCTAATTTATGCTGAGATAAAAGTAACATTTACCAAATTAAAATTTACTAACTGCTGTGAAGCTTAGAATTCAAAATGTATCGATGAACAAATTATAATGACCTATTTTTATAAAGAGATTCTACATTAAAAGAGTTGTTAAATATGCTAAAAACTCAACTCACATACAACTTTAAGCACAGTTCATCAACTCCCCAGAGATGTACACTGCATCTTTGAGAAATAATCAGCACCAGATTGTACATTCATTAACCACTCCAAAGATCAAATGTTGGGTTTGTACAAGTAACAGATAGAGGAACATTAAATGACCTTGAACAGCAATTAATCTATCAGAACTCCTCACTTGAATAAAAAAAAACCTATAACATATGCTCAATGACCAATTATTTGCAATTAACTGTCTAAACCAATGTCTGCTGCAACAGAACATGTTAGCTGTACCATTCTTTAACTATGTCACTGCTCTATTCCATGGAATTTTACTTAGCCTAAAACAAATGTGTTGCCTACATTGATCAATTGTAACTTAAACACCTTGACCTGCATATTCCAACAGCCACAGAGTCTCTTCTGTAGCATAGAATGGAGTTGCAGAATAAGACAATATGAATCTAAGACACAGTTGACTGTGTGGCACTTTCTCAGAAAGATTCCAACAGGCAATTTTCCTGTTTCTGAGACACTCCAATAGAGTCCATTAAAGATGGAGGATTCTGACACAATTAAACTAATAGTTACCCACGAAAAATTAAAGAATTAAAAACACAGTCAAACTCCTAGGTAACTATTAACTTAAATACCAGACTCACTCTTCACCTACACCTTCATCTTCATCTACACATCACCCCAACCCTGACCGGACCTCCCCACCCAACATGATTTCATGCACACTCAAAGGATCTGCCCTACCTTTGCCTCCAGGCTGACCCTCTGCAGACCTGAAACCGTCAGTTTGATACCCCCAGGCCCAACACTGCTGGCCAGAACCTCCCAGTCCTGACACGTTATGGCCACTGGCTTAACCTCCCAGACTTGATACTCAGCTCCAGACCCAACACCACATCCCCAAACCCCTGGCCTGACTTTGACAGCTCTCCACTGGATGCAACACCCACCACAACCTGCCAACCTGAATTCCCCCCCAAAACTGACAACACACCCCTCCCTGCCCACCTCCCAAAATCTGACAGCACCCTCAGCTTGCTGGACTGAGCCTTCTGAACCTGACACATTTCCAACTTATCCACCCTGCCACCAGACCTGAAACACCACCAGTCCAGAAGTCTGCTATGCTGACACTCCCCCCTCCAATGACAGCATTCCCACAGCCCACCCCCAAAACAACCTGCTAGCCTGACTCTCCCTTGAAGAGCAACCCCCTCCACCATCAGGCTCAAAACCACTCCCTCCCCCTACCCAATCCATGCTAAGCACTCCACATTACTTATTTGGCACATTACTCATCTGGCATCCTGACCTCTTAACCAATTGCCATCTTAACTCCACATTTACTTGTCATACTTACCCTTTTAAAGTTGTCAGAGTGCTGTGATCCGTAAATCACAGAATGCTCCAGAAAGGAGTCTGGTTTCCATTCTGATTCTATTAGTGGCTGGATATGTGGATTCCTAGACAAGTTTGTACCAGGAGGCCTCTGTCCAGGAATCTCCAGCATAGAAGTCATCTAAGGAAAGTGGGTATGTTTTTTAATTTAATCAGAAATGGAAATAAGGTTTCTAACCCTGATCGGAATATCTGGACCATTACTGTGTAAGCAAACTGACATTCAGTGATACAAATTGGAATGCTTTGCACCTGTTTGTCAATGGTAACATATACAAACTTTGCAGTGGGATGGCCTGTACCCAATCTGATTGGCCTCTTATAGCCCTTTCCAATCCTCTTCCTCCCAGGACTCGAAGGGTGTAGTTAAAGAGCCAGGCTACCCTATACTAATCTTTTCACTTGAGCAAGCTACTTGTGGACCTGCAGCTCAACTGGCTATTTCCATCAATTCTCAGGTATCTTAGTTCAGCCACATAACCAGATTAAGTTCCTTCAGTAAATCTTAAAGAAAACCAATTCAAATGAAGGATCAAAAGAAAAGATCCGAGCTCAGTTTAAGATTTGAGTTCAATTTAACTCTTGAAACTAATCTATTATATTCACATTAAAGCTGACATTGTCATGCTTGAAAGCAAGTATAGTCCCTGCCAGGCCTTTAAGCTGTTTGCAAGACACTGAACAGCTGACCCAAGTGGCAGTCACACAGCTTGTGTACACTCTGCCTACTTGTGCTGGAAAATTGCAATAGGGACCCAGATTTGTACATTTAGAAGTCCATGTAGAACATGTTTTTTAAATAAGCGAACCGACTTACTTAATCATGAAGAGGTGTGATTGGATTATAAAAGTAACAAAGTGATACGGTGTGTGTATATAGAAAGCCTTGGTTGGATCCCATTGTTCTGTTTTCCAGAGCTCCATAATCAGTAAAATTGCAACAGCTTTGGAGGAAGTAGAATGCAGTAGAATTACCAGAATGAAACCAAATTTAAAGAGTTGAATGATGTGGGCCATTTTTCTTATCTGGGTTTGAGTGTAGAGGTTGAATGGTGGTCTAAATAAGGAGTTTAGAATGATGAAAGAATGTAATAGGTTAGATGTACAGAGCAGAATTTGAAAGGGGCCTGAATGATGTAGGCTGCAGCAAGATTTGTGACAGAATTACGTGAGAAGTCTAGTGAGGTCAATCCCAACATGCAAGCAAGTTGCTGTATCAGTTGAGAGAAGTACCACAGGGGTGTGCTTGTAGGTAATGAGGCAAAGTTGGTAAGCTACAGTGATAAATTTTGCATAGTCTCATTACAACAAACTCTCTAAAATCTCAACACAACTGACACTTGGGCAAAAACAAACAGAAGATTCAGCTCAGAAAAGCAATTTCTTCTACTGGGGAGTCCAGAACAAGACTTCATAATCTTCAAATTAGAGTTGGACCATTTACTCTGAAATCAGAGTAATTTTTCATGCAGAACTGAAATTTTCAAGGCTATGATCGTTAGTTTGTTTTGTTGGATCAAGAAATATGGGCAATGAAGGTTAGAGTTGAGGTAAAGAACAGCCATGATCTAATTAAAGGTTGGAATAAGTTCACTGGGCTGTTTGGCCTGCCCTTGTTTTCATGTTTCCTCTGATGATCCAACTGCTGCCTTGTCCATCCATTTCTAGAAACAGGTAGTCACTGCAATTGCCTGCTATACTATTGCATAGATCCCAGAAAGGTAATGTACCTTTAAAACAGTTAGATGACAACATGACAAGCAACATTGCACTGTAAAGAGCCATGCTTCACCTTAAACAGCATCATGGAATAGAGTCAGCTACATGCGATGTTACAGTCATGGAATGTAATCATTACAACAGTAAGCACAGAACCCAGACTATTTGTAAGTTTGAGATTTTATAACAACGTAAATAGTTCATGCTAATAAACTTCAAAATATCTGTCTTAACGCTAATGCCTTTGTGATATATTTTCCATGGGCTAATATTTGGGCAAGCACTCAGACCATATCATTAATGGTAGTTGAACAAAAACAGAAGTTACTGGAAAAGCTCAGCAGGTCTGGCAGCATCTGTGAAGAAAAATCAAAGTTAATATTTCAGGTCC